ACAATACTTCTATCAAACGTACAAACTACGACGAAGGAAAAATAATACGAATGTCTCGGACAACTTGGTACAGATTTATTGTCGCTGATACAGTCCGATTGCGTGGGATTATTTTAATGAAAAGCATTACGAATTGATTGACAGAGCGGATCGAATCCGTGTATGCAGCGAAAAACGAGACAGTTATCGATACTCGGCTTGACAGAGTGGCGGAAAGATACATTTACGTTAACCTGATTGCAAATTACTCACGATCCAAGTATCGCCTTCTGTAATTTCGACGCGCCCCGCTTCGCTTCTCGCTGTTTCGAGCGCCATGCCGCGGTATTAAGTCATCGTTGACGTCACTCTCGTATCGTTTAATCGAGAACACTCGCTCGTGCTATTTGGCGTCACGTTTTTTCCTTTTTTTTTTTTTTAAATTTCAAGAGAATAACGCGAATTTTCGCTTAGGTTGGATTTATCTCAGAAAATACTGAGATTTTTTTTTGTGGAGCAAATACATCTGATTTCTAAATTAGTTATTGGTTGCAATAGTTGGCGAAAAATTGCGAACATTTTTTTTAAAAATGTTCAGAAGAGTTTTTTTCTAATTTGCTCAAAAAAACTGTTCGTTAAATTTCGAAAAAAAAAAAAAAAAAAGAAATAACAATCGTTGTCGTTTTCGTTCCCTAATCACTATGCATTTCCTTCGAAATTTTTCAGATATTTGCAATTGTTATCGGTCTATTATGGATTGTTAGCACGAGGCTATTGGTTCGCTATTTAATCGCGGTGCTTTAACGCGATAAAACAGGGAACCACGTTAATCAGTTTATTGTGTTTTTGGTCTGTCAATAGTGACGCGGGTAATTCCGTAATTTCGCGATATTTCGCTCTAATCTCACGTTTCTACCTTAGACTTATTTATTTATTATTTATTATTTGTTTATTATTTTTAGTATTTATTATTTATTTATTATTTACTATTTATTTATTATTTATTTATTATTTCTTTATTTTTTTGGTTTCGGTACAAACAGAATGACAGAACAACAAATTTTTGTTGTAACAGCAAATCGTACAATTCACAATCAGTAAAAAAACGAAGAAAATAATTCAAGTGTGTTCTTTTTTTCTAAAAACTTGATAATATATAGAAAACAGTTCATAGGATCTATCGTTATCTAAATCCGTCTGATACATAAACTCATTTTCCACGATAGCAGCGACGTTTCAATTTTTCACGTTTGACAGCCGAAGACTATTCCAAAATTCTGTTAGCTCACCGTTTTCTCGTATATTTCCATTGATCCATCGATACGTCGAATCGATGATAGACACAGCAAACATACATGAAATCTCTGCTTATCTACAGAAGAAGAGAAAAAAAAAAGAAGAAAAAAAACAAATTGAAATATTTCTTCTTCTGATAATGGTATTATTTGAGTTCTCACCGTTTGAAAACGCAACGTGTCAATTCAGAGATGTACATCTCGATTTACGAATCGTGCCTGGATGATCGACAGCCGCCGAAGAAAACGAGAAATTGTCCCATGTCATTCGTGACTCGGGCCACGCGGAAATCAGGCGTGAAAGAAATCGTGAAAAATCGCGGTGTGTAACTCGGGTTATTATGTCAGCGTATCGATAAGGTGTTAAGCTATCGTATGAATTTCTTTTCCTCGACGTTCCCTTTTATCGAACATCCGATAACGGTGATAACAACCGAGCGTGAGTGCAACATTCAGTCCCGTGCAGCATCGTGGCCGGATCTGATTGTTTCTCGTGTTTCTCTCTTTCTCTCTCTCTCTCTCTCTCTCTCTTTCTCTCTTTCTCTCCTCTTTTCTTCGCTCTTCCGCACTTTCGGCCCATGGAGTTGCGCGAGATAAAAAAATTGGACGTTCTCGAGGAGTACTCGAAGGATTTCTCGAGTTTCGTCAACCTAGTAAGTAGCCAGCCGATTTTGATCGACTCGCGCGCCAGTGCTCGTTACGCCTTTTACGTAAGCCACTTGAGCTGCTCGCGAGGCGAATCGATTGATCGCTGATTGTCAGCGTGAAAGCTACGACCGCGTTCATTTTTCGACTGTCAAACGCTCATCTTTCGTCTTGGCACACGCCGAAGAAAATTGCGCGAATCAAAACGTGTGACGTATGGGGAACGTTCGTGAACAGTTCGGACGAGCTACGTGTTGAATCACTGGTTGATTAGATCGTACGGTCGTGCAGAATTTTATCAGAGTTCGATCGCGAAACACCGACGCGTCGCAGAGTAGAGATTGGTCGACTCTCAATCGTGGAAAACGATAGCAAATTTTTTTTTTTTCTCTTCGTTTTTTTTTTAGAGTCGCATCGAGGTCGTTGGCGAGTAGGTACTTGTGTGCACACGGTGTGCTTCTATTTTGTAGTATAGATTTATGTCCATCCTCTCCGAAATCACTCGATGTTTCGTGCATTCATACAGAGAGTGTCTTAAATTTTGGAATCTCTTAGAATCGCTCGATCTATCGCGTTAAAAAATTTGAGAAAATCGCTTGACCTCTTGCGCTAGTGGTTCACGGACCATAACGAGTGACCAAACTGTATTCAATAATTCGTTTTTCTTTTTGAATTCATATATCACTGGATAGAAATTACTAAGAAGTAATAAATTTATTATTTGTTTTGTCTGGGTTATATTTCAATATAAAACTGAGAAAATATTGGGCCAATTTTTGGTCAACTGCTTCACGGACCATAATTCATGTTCTTTCTGAATTCATATATCACTAGATAGAAATTATTATTGAGAAGTAATAAATTTATTATTTGTTTTGTCTGGGTTATATTTCAATATAAAACTGAAAAAATATTGGGCCAATTTTTGGTCAATTGCTTCACGGACCATAATTCATGTTCTTTCTGAATTCATATATCACTAGATAGAAATTATTATTGAGAAGTAATAAATTTATTATTTGTTTTATCTGGGTTATATTTCAATATAAAACTGAGAAAATATTGGGCCAATTTTTGGTCAACTGGTTCACGGACCATAATTCGTGTTCTTTCTGAATTCATATATCACTAGATAGAAATCATTATTGAGAAGTAATAAATTTATTATTTGTTTTGTCTGGGTTATATTTCAATATAAAACTGAGAAAATATTGGGCCAATTTTAGGTCAATTGGTTTACGAACCATAACGAGTGACCAAACCGTATTCAATAATTCTCCTTTCTAAATTCATATATCATTGGAGAGAAATTATTAAGAAGTAATAAATTTATTATTTGTTTTGTCTGGGTTATATTTCAATATAAAACTGAGAAAATGTTTGCAATTTTGGGTCAAATGTCCTCGACGTGCGTGGCGCAGGAGGTTAAAAGTCTGAATTGAAGAGAAAGGAAATCACATTTCTGACATAAAAAGAGAATCTTCTCCCGTGAACAATGATTCCAAGCCGGCGAAAGAACTTGAAGATCCTCAGTCTGATTACTTTCCGTATCGGTACTGTTGAAACGAGCACCTCAACCTCTCTCTCCATCGCTCAAAAGAGTTAAGCAGCGATGAGAATTGTTGGACGATGGCGTAGAGTAAGAAGCAAACGACCCGAGTGAATAAAGGAACGGCTCGGTGGAAAGAACGAAATGGTAATTGGTCGGCTGTAACGCGATTTCCCGCGAACCAACATAAAGAACTGTCGATTAACCCCGTTGCGGTATTCCAAGAAAGCACATGCATGACTATACCACAACGACGTTTCGTCGCCCGGCTATACGTATTGTTCTCCGTGGAAATTGCATCGACCGTAATCACATCGCCTGCATTCTTGAAAACCAACGACGAGATTCTTATTGCGGACAGCCTAGATATCGTTGGTTGGAAGAACGCGACGATAAAGCATTTTCCCTCGCGATACGCTCGCGACTAAGCGGATTGGCTTAGCCGAGCAACGTTCGAAAGACTCTTCCTTTTTTTTTCTTTTTTCTTTTTTTTTCTCTCTCTCGAGAACAGTCTTTTGCGATTTTTTTTTTTTGTTGCTCGCGATATCTGATATTTCTGATCTGATCGATTAACAATTGGCCAAGTTTCTGGTAGTCTTTATCTTTTTAATTAACGCTGGAAATAAAAGAGTTGCGCGGTATCGAAATAAAAGTGGGAATTAGTTTACGCTAGATATTGCACACGTTGCTGGCAAATGTTTCAAATGTCAATCGAAGATCTGAGACATTTGAAAGATGTTCGAAGATTGTAGTTGTTCGTATTGAATTTCGGATGATGCGGGAAATGTTGAGTGAAAGACACGAGAATGCAAAATAGTTCCCTCTAACTCATTAGAACTCCGATGATTCCAAGAATCCTATCCGTAGAATCCTGTTCTACAAATTTCAAAACTCGAAGACCTCGATCCTTGAAAAGCGTCGAAAATGTTTTCACGACACTCGAACTCAACTCCCGAAAATCCAAAAGTTCCAAGAACGCTACGAGAATTAGAAGACCTGAATCCTCAAGAATCAAAAACTACTCTATCCGAGTGCAATTCCGGCATTTCAAGAATCCTGTTCCAAAATTCAAAGACCTCGATCCTCAAAAAGCATCGAATATGTTTTCACGACACTCGAAAATGTTTTCAACTCCCGAAAATCCAAAAGTTCCAAGATCCCTATGAGAATTAGAAGACCTGAATCCTCAAGAATCAAAAACTACTTTACCCGAGTGCAATTCCGGTATTTCAAGAATCCTGTTCCGAAACTCGAAGATCTCGATTCTCAAAAAGCATCGAATATGTTTTCACGACACTCGAAAATGTTTTCAACTCCCGAAAATCCAAAAGTTCCAAGATCCCTACGAGAATTAAAAGACCTGAATCCTCGATAATCAGACTTCTTCAAAAGATTCCAAGAATCCTACAAGATCTAGAAAAAAGATACGAAGACCCTCAATCCTCACACTTGAACCTGCTACAGTGTGACACCCATCCTCGAATCTCCGAAAAGAAACCATCAAAGTCTAAAGGAGCTTGATTTTCTGTTAGATCGACGAGAATGGGGACGGCTTCATCAACCTCACAGAGTTGCGAAGCGCTCTGGACATCTGTGGCTTCAAAATGCCTGGCTACAAGGTCCGTCAGATGATCGAGGAGTACGACGACAAACAGAGGTCGGAGCACAAGGGCCGATTGTCGTTCGAGGAGTTCGAGAAACTTTGCAAGGAGCTGAAGGCGAACGAGCTGGGATCCACGTTCAAACAGGTCGTCTCGAAGAAGGAGAATCTAGAGACACTCGGTGGAATCTCCGAGGCGTCCAGCGAAGGGACCACCCATTCTGTCAGATTGGAGGAGCAACTTGCTTTCAGCGACTGGATCAACACGAATTTGTCGCACGATCCAGACTTGAAACACCTGCTGCCCATCGATCCGGAGGGCAAGACCTTGTACGAGAAGGTTAAGGACGGAATTCTTCTTTGGTACGTATTCAATCTTGTATCATACGTAATTAAATTGAATTGAATTGAATTGAAATTGATACGTTCGCAGTAACACGACCTGTTTGCAAAGTACGATTAAATACAATAATTATTTGCGTGTGAGAGGTCACCTGAACTGTGAAACCTATTGATTAACCCCCTTGCGCTTGGCAACTGGTTCGCGGACCATAACGAGTGACCGAGCCGTATACACAATAAATCGTCGCTTCCTTTTTCTTTTGAACACGGTATGATATCACTGGATAGAAATTATCGAGGAGTAAGTATTTCTGAGAAAATATTGCAATCTTCAGTCACGTCATTTCAGCGCAAGAAGTTGAAGTTGAAGGATTCGACTGTCGCTAGATTTTCCAACAGTGTACAAATTAACAGAAATAACGGAATGGAATGTTTCTAAAAATTGAAAAAAAAAAAAAAAAAAAGAAAAAGAAACGATAGAAACTTAGCGACTCTATAAACTCGGGTATTAATCGTAATAATCTCTATCTTTTAGCAAAATAATCAATCACTCTTGCCCGGACACGATCGACGAGCGAACGATCAACAAAAAGAACCTGACCCTCTACAAGAAACACGAGAACCTAACCCTGGCGCTGTCATCCGCCCAGGCGATCGGTTGCAACATCGTAAACATCGACGCTCACGATCTCACGAAGGGCTCGCCTCACTTGGTCCTGGGCCTTCTGTGGCAGATCATACGAATCGGCCTGTTCAATCAGATCACCCTGGAGAATTGTCCGGGCCTGGCCACCCTCCTACAGGACGGCGAACGCATCGAGGATCTTCTGAAATTGTCGCCCGAGTCGATCCTGCTCAGATGGGTGAACCATCATCTGGAGAACGCTGGTATCGCCAGGCGATGCCACAACTTCCAGTCGGACATCACCGACTCGGAGATCTACACGTACCTAATCAAGCAGATTGCACCGAACACAGCCGGCGTCACGCTGGAAGCACTAATGGAGCCGAACCACACATCGCGAGCGGAAATCATGCTGCAGCAGGCGGCCAAGTTGGGCTGTCGTAGCTTCGTAACGCCGAGCGACGTTGTCAACGGCATATACAAGCTGAATCTCGCCTTCGTTGCCAACATGTTCAACAACTATCCGGGCCTGGACAAGCCGGAGAGCAACATCGAGGGTTTGGAATCGTTGGAGGAGACCAGGGAGGAGAAAACCTATCGTAATTGGATGAACTCGATGGGCGTGGTGCCTCACGTGAACTGGCTGTACTCGGACCTGGCCGACGGCCTGGTGATCTTTCAGCTTTACGACATCATCAAACCCGGCACCGTCAACTGGAACCGGGTGCACAAGAAGTTCACGAAGCTGCGCAAGTTCATGGAGAAGCTGGAGAACTGCAATTACGCGGTCGAGCTTGGCAAGACGATGATGAACTTCTCGCTGGTCGGTATCGCCGGCCAGGACATCAACGACGGGAACGCCACGCTGACCCTGGCGTTGATCTGGCAATTGATGAGATCGTACACGCTGTCCATTCTCACGTCGCTGGCGGGCACCCAGGGTAGCACCGTCGTCGAGAAGGAGATCGTCCAGTGGGTGAACTCGAAGCTGCAAACGGCGGGCAAAACCAGCGGGATCAAAGGTTTCCAGGACTCGACGATAGCCGATGGGAAAGTGGTCATCGACCTGATCGATGCCATTAAACCGGGCACTGTGAATTACGATCTCGTGAAGGAGGGTGGAACCGAAGAGGTGAGACGTACGATATTGCACGATCCCGAGGGGAACGTGCAATATCGTACGATTTCGTCGATCTGTCGACTTTCGTAGCTGCTCTGGCGAAATCGGCCAGTTTCAAAATTTGTTTCGCGATCTTTACACGTTGTTGACTCACGAACCGTTTCTGTTTGCAAGTTTTCTCGTCTGTAAGCTGTGAGTAGGTTGATACTCGGTAGGAGAAACACAGAGTCATTTTTAATGCAGAATATTCTACATACTTTCGAAAATTTCAAATTATAAAAGTGTATATAAATATGTCGTTATCTCAGAAATTGCAAGTAACTTATCAATTAAATGGTTGAAAAACGTAGAACAGGTGATTCGATGTAGGAATGCAAGATAAAATTCAAAAACGGTAATAAAATTCCGTCGAAAATTTCGATTTTCCATAATTTAAACAAACCAACGAACTTCAAAGTCATTTCCCTTCAAAAAGAAAAAAAAAAAAAAGATCAGCATAAAAAGACAGATCTATCAAACCATTGTTTCATTCACTTGTTGTCGACGCGAATGATTAATGATTAATCAGCGTGGACTTTACTTACACGTCTTCTTAACAATGCAGGAGAACCTGGACAACGCAAAGTACGCGATATCCTTGGCACGGAAATGCGGCGCGCGCGTGTACGCGCTACCAGAGGACATAACCGAGGTGAAGCCGAAGATGGTGATGACTGTGTTCGCCTGCCTGATGGCGATGGACTACATCCCCAATATGGACTCCGTGAAGCAGCAGAACAACATTGCGAACAATATTGCGAACAACAGTCAATAATGTCGCGTCGCGTGCGATTCGTCCGCGAGAGGGATGTTCTCTCGTGATTGTGCGTTCGGTGATGGACTGTGCCGACTGAGCCACGATTTGTGCGAACCGTGTCTTTTCAACGAGCGTAATTATTGTATATATATAGACAGACACACACACACACACACGTACACACAGTTAGGTTAGAGTAGCTTGTTTCCCGAGACGGGAGAAACGAAGGCAAAGGGCAAAGGAGAAGAAAGAAACGAAAATGTAGAGAAAGACCGAAACCGTGAGAAGGGGAAGAAAAGAATCGAAATTGATAGAGAAGGACGACGATCAACGAAAATGTGTGTTTTTTTTTGTTTTTACGTCGTCGGATTTCGTTTGGCTTGGAAAACCTGTGGAGAATGATTTTTGTAGAGAATGGTGATCTTCGAAATTACTTTTTTTTTTTTTTTTTTTTTTTTTTTTAGTAGATAGAGCGAAAAAGTAGAAAACGAATACCCGCGTAAACTTTGGTAGCGAGCCGCGAGTAAAAATCATGCGAGACTAACGAGCGATCGTCATAATCAGGGCACGACTCGTCGAACGACACATTAGATACATAACGATTCTTTTGCCTATTTTCTTGGCGAAATGGAGAAACCTGTCGACGAGATATAACGAGCTGCTTATCGATCGCTGGTTCCACATCGAGCGTACTGTGCACCGTGGTGTGATACAGGATATTTCTCCTTCTCTTTAGAATATTTTCCGCCGAATCATATCCTCGTCTTATTCTCTCAACATCCGTAATCGTGATCTTTCGTAGATTTGTATAAATCGATTTTTTAACAACGATTTGTCTGTCAATACGATCGACGATCAATGCAAGAGAAAACAGTCGGTACGACGATCGTCGCGATCGCGAAATAAACCGGACGTCTTAAGACCGGAATTGGATATGAAATATAATTCGCGTATACCGGATATACGTGGCTTTCAGATTGCCGATTATATATATATATATATACATATATACATATATTTACATTCTTAAATCATATATACATATACATTTGAGATGTGTACACGTATTTGATATCGTGAGAAAATTGTCATAACTTTACAATGGCAATGCGTCTTCGATCAACGAGTCAATCAAGTCAATCGAGTCAAACTTTTGAAAAAAGAAAAAAAAAAAAACGCTAGAAAACATGTATTGAATGTATTTCGTGACATAAAACGGGGAGACGACTGTTTTATACAAAACATACACGGCGAGGTATCTCTTTTTTTAATAGAAATCTTCGTGAAAGATTTACCGTATCGTAAATATCTCAGTCTGATTGAACGATACGTTTTAAATAGAGTTACGATATTTTAGAAAAAAGTTTGATAGAAAAAAAACGAATTGCTAATCGAAGGCGACAGACAAAGGAGAACACATGAACATAAGAATCGAAATTGTTGTGTCGTATATAACGTGTGAAACTTGTCAAGCTTTTTCTTTCTCGTGTTTTTACCCGAGAGTCATTTGCAAGTAATTTAACATGATAGAAATGTGTAATCGATACGACGTGTGCGAACCGATTCCACGTACTGTCGACGAACGAAACGAACGCACAATGATCATTGTAATCGTGCCATTATAAATGTCGAAATCGTATTGTAATCGTGATTTGGGCGCTTGTTGCAATATTTAACGATCCATTCGAACGAAACGTACTTACGCATTTAGAAAAAAAAAGAAAGAAGAGAGAGATGCTGCCGAAGATCGATCTCTTCTTTTTATTAATCCACACTCTACAGCGAGCGACGAAACGTTGGTTTCTCTTCATCGTGCGCGTTTCTTACTTTTGTATTTGGCGCGCGTTTCTTTCGTTTGAATTTGGCGCGCGTTTCCTTCGTTTGAATTTGGCGCGCGTTTCCTTCGTTTGAATTTGGCGCGCGTTTCCTTCGTTTGAACTTGGCGCGCGTTTCTTTCGTTTGAATTTGGCGCGCGTTTCTTTCGTTTGAATTT